CTGCTTCATTGCAGGCTCTCTCTCCTCGCAGGACATCCCTGCGTCTCTCAGTCCATATTTTGCTGCTCGCCTCCAAGCTGCTGCGGGAGCCCGGGCTGCTCCTCCACAGAGGCTTGCTCCGTGGCTGTGTGCTGCAGCTGCCTCTCCAGGGTCATGGCTAACCAGCCTGGCCTGCTCTGGGCCACCCCTCAGCTCATGTTGGCTTAGTGTTCCTGCCCACTGGGGCTTGGTTCCAGCCCCCAGCTGGATTGGGTCCCGTGCCACCGCCTCTCCCTGGCAGTGGGGCGGTGACATGGTCTTAGCTCAGCATCCCAGCCCAGCTACAAAGCTGTACCGAGTCCCCTGAGCTAGGGCTGAGGGAGGAAAGAAGCCCCCTGCCGCCACGGCTAGGACCAGGGGGGGAAAGCCGTCCCGGCCCCGCTCGGTCTCTCTCTCTCTCTCTCTCTCTTTAACACATAGCATCTCACTTCATGGCTGCCCTAATTCCAGTTACGCCAACAAGCCTTCTTTTCTGGCTTGTGAATATGTCATTTCCGCAGGGGCACACTAAGCCCTCATTGGCTCAGCACCAAAAACACCACCCCTGGAGCTAGCTATCTTCCAGCTCTGGGGGGACTCTTTTTCAAACTACGACAATTTGATATGCCAGCAAATACATCAGCACTGCCACTTTACCTTGAGGTCCCCATGTTTGTAAGCTGAGGTAGTTCCCAGCAGGGTAGTCAGGTAGGTCGGGGCATCCATCCCTGCCCAGCAATACCCTGGGCAATCCCTGAGTGCAGGAGCCAGAGCACTCCCCTTGGGCTCTCTAGCATGACCAAAGCAGTATAGAAAGCTGGTAAAGTCAGCTCATGACATCTTGTTTTCACCCCAAGCTCAATGCAGCCTCCATCAGTTCCCCCCATATCACCCAAGATACAGACTAGGGTCTTTAGGGTGTATGGTAAAACCTCTTGAAATCTGTTTGACTGCTGCTTCCATAAACACAGATTAGCAAAATCTGGTTTATTTCAGGTTTTTTTCATGTTTTCTGTGAATTTTGAAAGCAAACACCTCAGAAAGTCCCCATACAAGTGTGTTTCCAGCATGGGAGGAAGGAACAGCTTAGCAGTGTTTTTGCTGCCCAACCCAGTCATTCACCCCTACTCAAACTATGCAGTGAAGTGTGAGCAAAGTGTGAGTTTCTAACCACTGACACCACTTCTTTGCCATTAAATTCTGGTTCATACATTTCATTTCTTTTCAGAAAGATTCTCTAGAGAGCTGGAGGCGTGAGTGTCGATGGACACATTTACACTGCACCAGTCGCTCAGGGCAGAACCGTTCTTAGTCCTGCTCATAGTGAATGAACCAGGGCATCTGTGCCCTAAACAGTTCTAGGCTTTGAAATGACAAGGGAACTGTAATTAAAAATTTAAGAGACAATATTTTGCATAAATAATTTTTCCTGAAAAAATTCTGTTCAGGGTGAAGGAAGTGAAAGCAGAGAATTTTGTTGCTTTATTGTTTTGGGTTTGGTTTTGGGTTTTTTTCTTTAAGACTGCAGCTTATCGTTGTAAAGTATCTCTCTCAAACCAACATAAGCTTTTTGCAATATCATTGCACATAATGTCAAAACCTTAACATTAATTCCTTACCTGGCACAATACCACAAACTAGCTTGGAAGGGGGAAGGGAACAGAACCAAGCTTGCCAGTGATAAGTGATGGTATGGTGTGCCAAAACTTGAGGAAAGGAGCACTAATGGGACTTCTCAATATGCTTCAGGAGGTATTGGCCACAATGTACTACACCCGAAATGTTTGTACTTCAGTACAAATGCTTCAGTGTCCAGCACAAGAAACAAAGAAGAGGAGCTCAAAGCTTTGGCTCAGTCTCAGAGATTTGACATCGTTGGCATAAGTGAAACCTGGTGGGGTGAGACCTGTGACTGGAGTGTCCTGTTAGATGGTTACAAGGATAGACATGGTTAGGAGGGATAGGCAGGGCAGAAGAGGTGATGAGGTGGCACTCTACGTATCAGGAGGGTTAGAACATATAGAGCTCATAGTTGGCAATGCCACAGTTGAGAGCCTCTGGATAAGAATCAAGGGGCAGACAAATAATGCAGATGTCATCATAGGAGTCTACTATAGACTTCCCGGCCAGGACAATGATGTCAACAACTTATTCTTTGAGAAACTAAGAGATATTTTCAAGTCAACTGCCCTTGTCCTTATGGGGCACTTTAACTTGCCAGAAATTAACTGGGAGCATCGCACATCTGGTACAACCTGGGTGAAAAGATTCCTCAAAAGCCTGGATGACAACTTTATGGAACAAGTCCTAAGGGAGACGACTCGAAAGATGCTCTCCTTGATCTGCTGCTTGTCAACAAAGAGGATCTCCTGAGCAAAGTGGAGATTGGCGGCTGTCTTGGCCACAGTGCCACAAAGTGATTGAGTTTAAAATCTCTGTTGATAGGAGGAAAAGTGCCAGCAAAACCTCAACTCTGGACATGAGGAGAGCAGACTTCAGGCTCCTCAGGGAATTAGTAAGCAAGTTCCCCTGGGAAAATGCTATTGCAGGTGCTGGGGTCCATCAGTGCTGATCACCTTTCAAATATCATCTCCTAAGGGCACAGCAGCAGGCAATTCCCAAACGTCAGAAGTCAAGCAGGTGAGGCAGAAGGCCATCTTGGCTGAACAGTAATCTTCTCTTGGAAATAAGGCAAAAAAAGGAAAGGTGTATGCCCAGTAGAAACAAGGTCAAGTGACATGGGAGGAATTCAGAGATGCTGCTTGCTGCTGTAGCCAAAGCTCAACTGGAGTTGAAGCAGGCCAGAAATGTGGGGGACGATAAAAAGAGGGTTTTTTTAAATACATTAATGGCAATAGGTAGTATAGAAATATCATTGGCCTGGTACAGGATGAGGATGGTCACCTCACAGAGACAGAGACAAGGCACAGGTGTTTAACACTTTCTTTGCCTTTGTCTTCAAACACAGACGAGGGATCAAGGGGGTCTCAGTGCCCTGAGCTGGAGGACCATGACTGGGAGAATGATCAACTCCCAGTGGACCCTGAAACTGTGCAGGATCTTCTGCTCTAGCTGGATACCTACAAATCTATGGGGCCTGATGGAATTCTTCCCAGAATCCTCAAAGAACTAGCTGATGTCATCACAAAACCTCTCAATGATTTTTAAGCAGTCTTGGAAATCTGGAGAGGTCACTGACTGGAAACTGGTAAACATTGTCTCGATTTTCAAGAGGGGCAAGAAGGAGGACCCTGGAAACTACAGGCCTGTCAGTCTCACTTCAGTGCCTGGAAAAGTTATGGAGAAGACTATTCCAGGAAGTACTGAAAAACACCTGAAAGACAACACAGTCATTGGTCACAGCCAACACAGCTTCATGAGAGAAAAGTCCTGTTTATCCACCTAGCTGATCAAGGGAAGCCAGCCGATGTAATATTTTTGGATTTCAGTAAAGCTTTCAATACTGTCTCTCACAGGATCCTTATGGACAAAATGTCCAGCACACAGCTGGATAAACACATCATGTGGTGGGTGAGCAATCGGCTCATAGGTTGAGCACAGAGGGTAACAGTGAATGGGATGACATTAGACTGGGAACCTGTCACTAGTGAGGTTCCACAGGGCTCCATTTCAGGCCCTGTGCTCTTCAACATCTTCATAAACAACTTGGTCGCAGGACTAGAAGGAATACTAAGCAAAGGAAAAAGGTTCTTCACCCAGAGGGTAGCTGGGGACTGGAACAGGCTCCCAGCAACAAGTTCGATCATAGCACCAAGCCTGACAGAGTTCAAGAAGCATTTGGATGATACTCTCAGGCACATGATGTGACTCTGGGGGAATGGTCCTGTGTAGGGTTGAGAGTTGGACTCAGTGATTCTTGTCTGTCTCTTCCAACTCAGCATGTTCTGAGATTCTGTGATTCTGTGAATATTACTGAAAGGCTGGATAAAAGGACAGGGTATATTTGCACTGTACCTTGCTTTGTTCCATAATAAACGTAAGTTACTTAACCAAAAGAACCCAGTGACAGGAAAAGGAAGTCTTGCTTACAACATTATTTATCTTGTCACCAGAACTAAGTCTATCACATAAAGATAATAACTACAATTAAAAAGCCATCTTTTCACTGAATAACAGTGAGAAACAGGAAAAGATAAGTCATACCACACTCAGAAACTTCTCTTGCACGTGATTTTTTCCCAACCTTCAAATAATTTTTGCCCTCCCATTTCTAGCTTAATCAAAGACCATGTGAAAATCTTAATAAAAAAATTCACCTTTAAATACTCACCCAGACTGGAGAAGTCTGCCTCTATGCTCACCAGCAGTGCAGTGCATGGACTCATCTCAGCCAAGGGCCTCCCCTTGTCCCATCTCCTCTGCCCCTCCAGGCATGAAGTGGTGGGCAGGGTGCTGTACCACCAGACCACACCACAGCTTCTCTACTACTTCTGCTTGAATCCTCTCCAGAGGAATATTAGTACAAAAGCATATTCAAATTCATTTGATCAATACCCACTTGAGTGTAATGAGGGATTATTTCAACAGATGTTCACTACTTTTCCCCTGGGTATTAAGTACACATACTCCACCCCACCTCTTGTCAGTGAGACACAGGGGAAACTAGCCACTGGTAATAGTTTATCTGCACAGATTTCATGTGGTTTGTCATCACAAGACAGGGTTTGATAGATTGTGAAGTTATTTTGCTAAACTAAGTGGTTTATTCTGACTTCAGTCACACAATTTTTTTTTTTGTTCAAAGTCTAGGATTTATACAAATGTGTGTTTTAGAAACAATTTCAACCAACTTTTAGATGATATCTCTCCTCTCTAAAACCTCACTACTGTAAAATCCGTTGAAAAAAAAAAAAGTTGGAAGTATATAATGATTCATGCAATCTCTTCCTTTCCCATGTGAAAGTAGTTCTAGTTCCTCAGACACTTTATCTAGGTGTTTTTCACAAATGTCTATATACCTTAGGTGGAAATGTTCATACATAAGTCTCAGTTATTCTTTATTTCAGTTCATGATGAGTTGTTTTAAACATAGCTCTTATCTCCAGCTACATCTCTCCAAGCAACAGGAAAATATTGTCATATTTTTTCAAAACGTCACAGGTACTTTCATACATTTCAAAGTTAATTGTGGCCAGAAGATGTTAGATGGGAAGCAGGCCTTTAGCTGGAGCAGCACATCCTGCACACTCATCTCATGTCCGCAAATGATGCCTTCAGTTCCCACAGCTCCACCATCTTCCAGGGGCTGGGGGATCTCCACAGCTTTGCTGCATGTTTTGGTCTCCCATCTGCTCAGGTGTCCCCATGTCTCCATGTCCATGCTTTCCAATGGCAGAGGCTGGCTGCTGCCTGCCCATGTCAGGACAGGGCTGGGTGTGACCAGACTGCCAGCCCAGGCATCAGGGCAGTGCCTGTGGTCAGCACAGCTGCTGTCGTGCAGTGAGAGTGCTGTCACACTGACAGCTAAAAAGAGTTTCCTTGTGGGCAGATTCTTCTTCCCAGTTCCTCTACTAGCCATTTTTTGCCTCCCCCTTGCTTGTCACAGCCTCCTCCTGCCTGCCTGCTGCATTTCATCTTCCCCTCTGCAAACATACACATTGCTCCGTGACCATGCACCATCCCAGTCTGCTTCAAATGCCTGGCTTTCCAGCATACAATTCATGCCGGCCTACCCCAGCTGCTCTGGGGACCCCACAGCACTTCACGGTGGTTGCCCATCTCTGCTACCTCTCAGTGCTTCTCTCCCTCCTTAAGGTGTGGCATCGAGGGTGGAGAAGTGTTTGCTTTTGTTCTAGGAGGTTATTTGAGGCTGTCAGCTGCATAATTAAGAAATATTTCCACCAAGTGATTAGCAGCCTACCCAGCTGGGAGTATCTTTTATTCACCCTGTGCTTGGGAGCACACCCAGGCTTTTGCTTGGTGCTGAGCTATTTGCACTTTTTCCCTGAAGTTCTTTTCAGTGGAAAAGGCTGAAGATGTACTCGTCTTCTGGGAAGGTCCCAGAAACAGTTGGCCCCAGGTGAGCTGCATCCATCCCCTCCCCCCACATGGGACAGAGAGAAGGGGCTCCACCTGAGCTGGGTAAGGCAGGGCTGGCCCTTGCACCGTCTGGCTGCAGTGTCAGACTGCCTGTGTTTCAGAGAATATGATTTGAGTGCGCAATTTCACCTTGCCTCTTGCTAGCCAGAACCACCACACTGCAGCCTCGCTGGCACAAGATGAGGTTTTCCTTGTAATCATAAAAAAGCATGGGACAATACTACCTCAATAGGCAATGAAAAAAAATTTCTAGACTTCCAAGAGAAACAATCTAGTCATCTATAATCCTCTACAGACATGTATACCTACCTCTTCTGAGGCATCATCTTCCCAGAGGCATGCAGGTTCTCTCTCTCCCTCTTCACTTAGACTGACAGTCAGTGTGCTTGCACATGCCCCATGGAGCCAGCAGCCCACACATGTCCTTCGAGAGTTGCTGTGCTCTACTTATGGGATCAAGGCTAAAAATGGCACAAGAGCTTGGGAGAATTATTCTCTGAAGAACCACTTCCTGCCATTTAACTATGCTTTTATTTTTGCCCTTTTTTTTTTTTTCTTTTTTGGCTTAAGAAGTAACATAGCCACTATTTGTAAATGTTTCCTCCCTCTTCAATAATTTTCTCCATGTCTTTCCAGAGACTGTTGAAGGCAGAGGAAAACACCACAGGCTTCAGTGGCAGTCATGCATTATAGAGTTCCACAAAATATTCAAATATCACAGCAAGGAGCAAGATATAGCAACGTGGACTACAGCTTACTCTTCAGAGCTTTGTCAGAGATTTGGCTCGTGTTTCTTTCTAAAAGCAGAAAAGTTGCACTTTATATGAATCATATAAACAACCCATACTTGCCTGAGCACTTTATTTATGGACTGCATTGTAGTCAGCTTGAAGGAGGCAGTCAGTCAGTGACAGCTTTCCCAGTCAGAGATGTCACTTGGAGGTTCTCAGATTCAAACCCATCACTCTGAGGGCTGGGTTACCAGCACAGCAGAGGAAGGCATGTTTACCCAAGCATTCTCATTCATTGATTAGAATTGCAAAAAGAGAAGATCAGAGAGGAACCTCTTTTCTTCTTAAACTTCATGCAAATTTCAATGTTGAGACTGAAAGTTACCCAAACAGCTATTAATACTGTTACCGTACTCACAAGCCAGGCAAGATGCTGCCTGTCAAGACACCTCAGTTCTTCCATAAAAATCCTAGAAAATCCTACTGCCACACATTACTTCTCTACCTGCATTTTTTACAACTTGACATCCTTTTCTGAGGAAGGTGTCATCTTCACCCTCTCAGAGAAAACCATACAGAACTGGCATGGCTTTACTTGCAGTTTGAAGCCTTCTATTGCCATCCCTTAAATGCTTTCAATGCTTCAGGTTTTGGGTTGTTTTTTTTAATAGCATTCCTAGTAACACTGCTCTGCATAACATTTTCATACACTAGATCAGGTGTTTGAGATATTCTATATAAATGTATATTATATATACATACCTAATCCTATCTCAGTGCTGGTGCAGCATCATCTCTTGAAGGTACAATGTTTCTGTAAGCAAAGGTGACAGACAGAGCAAGGCTCATAGCTGACAAGCTCTAAAGAGAGGCTCGTAATCACAACTCACTTTCTATTTGGCATCACAATGGGCAGTTTCATCAAGGACTGACTAAACAGGAATGCAAGATTAGCTTTAAGATCCGTTAAGAAATCCATCATTTCCCCATTTTAGAAAGCTGAAACCATGTGTTTTCTCCAAATTTACATGAGTCCTGGTCTTGTTATTAGAAACAACAAACAGAACTCAGAAGAATTACCAGCAATTGAGAGAAATGGAGAAAAAGTTAATAAATAAATCATCACTCAGTATAAGAAAAGTCTCTAGAGTGCTTGTGTGACTCTTTATTTGCATACTTTGAAATTTATACTAATTTCTATTGGCATGACAGTAATAAAAAAATGTTTAAAAGGGTTTTGCACAATTTTAATTGAATTTTGTTAATTGGTAGTTACCACTTTCACATGATATACCCTGGAGAAAGAGCCTTCCTTTTACTAAAAGACTAAGATGAAGGTAAAATGTTGATTAAACCACTTCAGCCTCATATAAATCTCATCTCAGACACTTTCAGCTGACCATAGTAGTTTTATTTTTAATATTGCGGCTAATCATGGCTAGGCTTCGCGAACGAAGATTTGGGAAGGCTCTATCCACATTTGCTGCAGGCACGCTGGTGGCTTATGAGGCCAATACGTGACAGACAAATCCGATTGCAGTTGCGGCTAATAATCTAAATTCAAATCTCACTGCTGGAACAGGGGAAAAGTGTAGAAAGAACACTATCCTTTTCAGCTGAGAATGTGCAAGATGATTGTCATAGTCAATGTCCTAGTTAGAACAGCTGGGACCAGTTCATCACTGGATGGGTGTAACCCAAAACTGTGTATTCTATAGCCTTCCATGCCATTTCCCAGAAACTGTTATCAATAGACCATTTACACCATCTGCCCAGAGCAGTCTGACTCCTCAGGCTATAAACTAGGTGTTAAGAGGCCTGCGAGATAGGAGGACAGCTCTTGTCCTCACGCCCATTGGGGAACCCCCTGCCCTGAGGGAAGTACTGGGCATTCCTGCCTGAACTGGAGAATATATAATCTTGGAGTCTTGGAACTTTTTTAACCACTCGTGGGATCCAGAGGAAGACTGCAGATCACCACTCTCAACTGGACTGCAACCATCACTTTTCAACCAGACTGCAACCATCACTCTCGACCGGACTACAATCACCACTCTTGACCAGACTACAACAGCACTCTCACCAACAGGTTTTCCCCTCTCCTTTTCCTTTGGACTCAGGGGGCCCAACGAACACCACTCTGTTCATGCCCCAGGGTGCTGGGTTATACATTTGGGTTTTGTGGGTTAAAATCAATTGTTTGTCTGTATAATTGCACTTATTATATTATTTTATTAAATTGCTATTCTGACTTATAAACTCTCTTTTGAGTTGGGTTCATTTCCCCTGCCGGTTTACCTTTGAACCAGCACAGTCAACAAGATACACCAATCCCTCCTTGTGGGTAGGTTATTTCAGTAGCTACTGCCTGACCTGTCTGCCATTCTCCATCACTCTTTCTTCTTAACTGCAGCAGTGCATACCAGAATCCCCATGAGTGACAGTAACCAGGAAGTCAGCCTTGCTGGGCAGAAAAATTTTTGGTGCCACAGTATTCTTCCAGAAAACCCCAGTGGTTAACCCAGGGCTTTATTAAGTGCTTACATTTCACTGTTTTATGTAAAGAAATAGGAATCTATTTAAAAGATTTTATCAGACACAGATACAGAAGCAACGCTTTCCTATCACTGGGCACTCATTATAATGCTTGGCAATTGGGACACAGCATTGCTTCAGCTCAGGTAGAACTGTCTTTAACTTTGGCTCCTCCCTTAAGATGAACCCAAAAATTTCACATTTTAAATGTGCAAAAAACTGTTAAAGTCTTTCTATTAAAAACATAATAATAATTACTCTTCTTTTTCTAATCTATGTAGAAATTAAAAAGCTGGCTTACAAGGAAAAAAAAGATCCTTAGCAGGTAATTTAGTTGCCTGGCCAGAAATGCTTTTTAAAAGAACTTGATTTCTAAATGGTAATAGAAACAAGCCAATGTTTAATACACAATGTTTCTTTCTCTGTGAGTGTTATACTTTCTTTATGGAATGGATCAGCATTTTCAAATATGGCAGACTAAAGCTAAGTATCCATGCATATGTCATCTCTGAAAATGCAAAATTAGCATTTATTTCCCTCAAAGAAGATGACTGCACTTATGTAAAAGAGTAAAAATGGATGTTACAGGGCATAGAAATCCTCATTGGTTAAGACATTGGCACCTCTGCTTTCACACACACACAGAGTAGATATGAGGAGCCGGAGAAGCACTTAAAAGAGAGGAACATATTTTCTGTTAGTTCTTGACAAATGAAATGGCAGATGAGAAAAGTTTCAGAGGATGGTAGATGGCAGCACTTTGCTGCAGTCAAGCAGCATATTGGAGATTTTATCCTCACTCTGCTGTCCAGGGACATTGTGTTATTATTATGCCTGGAGTGCATTAGAGTTGAATGGGACTGTTGTAATTTATGACCTGGTCTGAGAGGCATGACCTGGCAGTCACCACCTGACAGTCACCTCCTCTGCCCTGGGGTGCTCTGCCCATTGCTGTGCTTGTGATTGGCTCAAAGCAGTGTGGACATGCTGCCAAGCCACTGGGAACTATTGAAATAACTCACCTGTAGGCAGCTCACCTATACAGTAGGCACACAATTTCATTTTCATCAGTCTTAACTTTCTACCTGCCTGATTGACTGAAATCATTGCATCATTTCACGTTTTGTTGCAGATATTTTATGTTCTTGCTAAGTATGGACGACATAACTGGATTAAAGTTTTACTTTCCAGGTTGCAGTGGCCAGAGATCTCTTGCTACTGACTTCCACTGTAAGCCTAACTGACCACAGCAATAATTTTGCTGTTGACAGAACTATTTTGTTTCGTTTCTCCAAGAACAAAAGCTTGCTGTGAATCTCTAAGCATGAGTCATTAGTATGCTCTCGAGAAGTTTTTGGAAGCACTCCTAAGCTATTTTAACCTTGATTTGGCATGAGGTGAGACAAGCCATGGTCAATTTTGGGGAAGAAGTGTTTCAACAGCAATGCAGACATGGCCAGTGAAATAATACTGCATTCCCAGATTTCACAGGAGCTAGTATGGATGCACCAACTACATCCACGTTGCAGGCCTTTCCCTTCTTTGCCTCAGTGTCCACTTGAGGTCTGGTCTCAAATTATACCCAGTGAACAAATTGCTTTGGCAGCTTTGACAAGACCCCTCCATCACACTAATGAACTCCATAATGTCTTTATCAGATGTATCCCACGGGTCTTCAAGACCGCTCAGACAAGTGGCCTTACCCACAGCTGCCTTTTCTGTCATTGTAGCATACAAAACTGAGGAACACTGAGCAAACAAACAGCCAGATCTACAGAGCTTCTGTACATGAGGCTGGCCTGATGTTTTATGACTAGGACTGTGAATCTAGGATTAGAGATAGCAAAAGATGCAAGCCAGTCACCCCTTGATACATGGAAGATTGGTAAAGCTGACAATGATCAACATGGGATTACCGAGATAAAGTAGAAAAAATTTTTTTGTTTACTTATGTCCACAGAAGTGTAATAGAAAAACACGGACAACCATCTTTGACCTAGGATTCAGGACGCAAGTCTAGCTTTAGCACTGTAGAGCCATGATTAAAAAGTATTCTTGGTCACTGTCTGCTAAAGCATACAGACAGGGGATCCCATGAGAGACAAAAAAAGGCACCTCTTAGCTATCAGCTAATCAATGGAGCCTCTCTAACAGATGCCATGTCCAACAGCTCCCTTGCTCTGTTGGGAATGATGGATGAACACCCCATCAACTCAGGACCATCAGCAGCAAGTAATGGTCAACCAGGGGCTGCAGGGAACCTTCCCATTGGCCCAGACCATGCTTCCTACAAGCTCCACAGCTAGCTCCTGTTGGCACGATGCTTGGAGCTCCGGCTCTGTGAGCTATGACTTTGCCAGGCTTTCATAAGAGCCTAGGGTTGGCAGATTAGCATTTCTGCACACCCACTCAGAGGCATTGAAGAAAGTCCAGATGTGCCCAGGCTGTTCCTATGGCAGTAGAAATGCCAGAAGCCCTTTCCAGTGCACCCAAGGGCAGGCCCTTCAAAATTGATAATTGAAAGAACGCTGAAAGCCAAGTAGACACACTAGGTATTTCTTTTCCGTGATGTCTAGTGGGAGGAGAGGCTGAGGAGGAGGTAAAAATGAGGGAAAAGCAGCAGAGGGAACATCAAGGTCAGAGAAAGGAGGAAGAGATGCTCCATGTGGGAGCCCATGCAGCTGGCCAGCAGCCCATGAGGGACCCACATTGGAGCAGATGAATATTCCTGAAGGACTTCAGATTGTAGAAAGCCCATATCAAAGCAGATTTTTCCTAACAGCGACTGCAGTTCATGGGCAATTCACAGTGGAGCAGAGAAAGTGTGAGGAGGAAGGATTGGCAGAGAGAAATCACTATATACTCACCATATCCGCCCATGCCACCCTGTACCACTTTGGGTGGGTAGAAGAGTCTGGATTGAAGGAATTGGGTTGAACCTGGAAAAGTGGGGAGGAAGAGTGTTCCTTTAATGTTCTTCTTTTCCCAAATCTATTTTAATTGACAATAAATTACACCGATTTCCCCCAAGGAGCCTGTCTTGCCCATAACAGCAATTGGCAAGCAATGTTTCTGTCTTTATCCTGGCCTATTATCTTTCTCATCCTCTTTTCTCCCTGTGTCCTACAGGAGAAGGAGGGCAGGGAGGAGGGAGTGAGCAGCTGGGTGAGCATTTGGCTGTTAGCCAAGATTACCACCATAGCTTTCTTTTGGCATCCAAGGACTTCTCCTTTGTGGGAAGCAGCAGAGGTGTCCTACTTTTGCCTTACCCTTCCTCTGACACCCAGAAGTATGGCTGGCACAGCCATCGACTGACCAGTGCTCCATGTCTGAGACTTCTAGTGGTATCTCGGACTGAGTCAGGGGTGTCTCCCCATGGTCCTGACAGGAAATATCATCCTTGGCCTCTGTTAGAATTAGGCTCTGTCTAGCACTAGAGGACAGCCCAGGACCCACATGTTCAGGATCCATGCTGACAAGCTGTCTTGCTCAAGCTGGTTTTGTGAAGAGCTATGACAAAACTCTGCATGGCACTGCACCCTACATTCCTCCTTGTCTGGGGTAGTAGCCCAACCACTAATAAACAGAATAACCAAGATTGCTAACATAGCCAATAATCTTATCAGGGTGGGTTGTCCTGCCTCTTTGGCCTGTCCACATAAATTTGACCATGAAAAGGCTAATTGAACTTATAAAAATAATACTGCATCTATAATAAAGATTATAGCAGAAAAAGGAGGTATGTGCAGCCTTTTGTTACTGAATACAGCCATCTAGTGGTTAATTTTTGTTTAGTTTTCAAAAGAGAACAGTGCTGACAAGAGACCAAGAGAACAAGGGTGTGTTGCCCGTAACCAAAAGAAACACAAACCAACAGAGTGCCGGTTTATGCGGTGCTTTATTCGGGGCCCCGGGAACCTGAGGACTAGCGTCCAAAGTCAGGATTCCAAAGACCCTCATTTTCAGTTCAGCTTTTATACACAAACAAGTTTATGTGCAGTTTCCACGGCAAACCAGTTACAGTTTCCACAGCAAACCAGGTGCAGTTACAAACAAGCTCATACTTCATACTGATAACAATTAATAATCATCTACTCCAATCATAAATCTGCTTAAGTTGTCTTATCCCTAGAAACTGTTTAACAGACCTTAACCACATCCTAGGTAACAAATCGTTGCATACATGCCTGACTAGATCTTTTGATTATGGTTTCCACTTCACACACAAACAAAGTTGCTTTCTAGGCCTACTCTTCTACTAAGCCTTAGCCATTCTACTACTAATTTAAATTGCTGTGCAACATGTCCCCCCTTTTGAGCATTCTTCAGGCTTTGCTTGCAAGGATGCTCAAATACAGCAATCTTCAGGCTGTAGTTTCTTGGTAGGTAGGAGGTGATTCATTTTGCGGTGAGATTATTTCTTTCCTTGTAATAGCTTTCATGATGCGTCTCGTATGTTGACCTTCTTTTACAATCATTCCTAAAAGACACTTGTAAACAGTTATGGCTATGACAATAATTATTACAATTAATATTCCGTACTGAATAACAGAAGATATCCATCCTGACACATGAAGACCTAGGGAGCTGAATAATTGTCCTATCCAATTATGTTCTGCTTCTTTTTGCAGTTCATGAACATTTTCGTCAATTTGTTCTAATTGGCTAATATCTTTTTCTACTTCTTGAGTGACATTTGGGATGTGTACACAACAATGCTCGTCCTTTGCATGCAGGTAGCCGCAAACTCCATGTTCCTTAAGTAATATTAAATCTAATGCCATGCGGTTTTGTATGGTCATTCTAGAGGTGGCTTGTAATTGTAAATTTAGATCTTTAAATCCCTTCTTAGTGACTGCTGCTAACCTTTCAGTTTGTCCCATTAATTTAAACAACATTTCTCTGTTCCGGTATGTTGAAATTGGTGCAAATAGAGACTCTAATGCCCATCCAAATTTAACTCCTGCTGATGGTTCATGCCAATCTCCCAACCCCAGGTTATCAATGTCTTTACTAACTTCTCTTTTCCTTCGTGGTTGTATTTCTATTGATGTTAACTTATCTTGCTTCCAGAATGGACAGAGAGTAGGTATCCCTAGTGTGACAGGTACAACCGGACCATTTATGGGTATGTGGGTGGTCCACTGGCCATGTCCCATTACCCATACCAAATTTCCTGGGCTCCTAACTGTAGTGGTACGGCAATCAATGTTTTTCACAGATCCTTTAATCGTATGATTATATCCCCGACATTCACATCCTAACTGCAAAAGTGTTTTGACTGGTATTAAACCTATCTCATCATCTGGGGTATCACATGTGTATATTCGAGTACAATTCCAATCCTCTTTTGTACGTGTTTCTGTCCTCCAATTATGATTCCTTCTATTTCCTATAGAATAAGTTTGATTCTTTTTCCCTTTCCAATGAATGCACCACTGTACTTTTCCAATGTAACTATATGTCTCTAATAAGCTGGGTCCCCAAATTGTTTGCCATTCTTCCATGGTTGTAGAACTTGTAGTATTTTGACACACTTCTTCTTGCTTTTCTCGTTTTATTCGAACTTGTACTTTATAACATGGGTGTGTTACTGAACCTGAGATCAAACAATTTCCTTCTAACTTTCCAATTTTCTCACTTTCTACCCAGCGAAAATATCCAGGCATCTGTTCACATTGTTTTTTAGTCACTTTGTCTATCAATAAACATGCATCTGTCATTTCATTCCATGTTCTAGTTACAAATCTGCAATTCCATGTAGTATTCTTAAACATTCTAGGGATTTCCGGTACTGGAATTATTCCCCATGGGATTGGGTCTCCTGCAGCATGAGGCATAGGGAGACATGCAGTGATTTTTGTGACATTCTGTGCTTTCCCAAAATCACGAATTAGGCCTACAACTAGGTTTTCTTGTTCTACTTCTCTATCTGGAATCTGCAGGTTACTTACCTGTCGGGTTATTCTTTCAGTCCTTACGTGGACGACAGTAATTCCAGTGTCCCACCAGTCATCTCTACTTATCCAGCAAATATACTGGCCCTCATCTTCTCTTCTTTGAATTTCTTTGATTTTCAAAACTATTGTATCTGCTCTCTTCTCAATCTGATGTCTTTTTCCAACTTTCAAGTTCTGTCCCTTAAACCACCACCCATATTCAAAATACTGTCCTTCTGGAATTTTGCAGCTTAGAATCAGATCTCTTCCTTCCTGGGCCGAATAAACACTATGTTCTGGTCTAACTCTTATTCCTTGATGTGGTACGGCTACTGCTGTCCTTATTCCGTGATCTTTTTCTTCTCCACATGAGACTACACAAAGAAATGTACCTTCTGTCTTTCCTACTCTGGGATTAGAAATATTCAGCCACCCTTTGCCTCCCTTACTATTTGACCACCAGCTAACTCCTTGACTTTGTGATTCCCAAGATTGATTTGCCACATTTAATTTCCACCACTTTACTTTAACTGATTTTCGACAATCATCAAATTGGAAGGTACAATTGATTTTTAAAGGAGGACCATCCCACATGTCTGATTGTTTCCTAGTGGGTAAAACTCGCACTTTGGTCACCGTCTTCTGAGTCGTGTTTATTGTCTGTATTTCTATATGTCCATAATCAAAACTTTCCCAAATCCAAACTACACACATATATGTCCCTTCCATAGCTTTGTACACTTTGGGTACCTGCAGAACGGTGTAACCTTTTTGTTGTGTAGCATCCCAAACTGTTGTCACTCCTTCTGTCATAATTTGGTCTTGATCTCTCCATCTCCACTTGACGTGGACATCTCTTAATTCAGCTCCCTGGTCATCTGAAAATAAACAGGTTAAATTCACATCAGTATGCTCTGGTACAAATAAGTAAGGATCCGGGGTCTCAATTCTCACGGTGGTTTCTGCTAAACTTATCAACCCCAGGAACACTATGATCCTCAATGGTTGGCTCGAAATACCATTCTTGTGGGTGAAAGAGGTTCTACCGACCACGAAACTGGAACCTTCTTGACCCGAGTATAATGGATCCAGCTGTCGATTCCTTCGACCTTTACTGCCGTGTAGGTCGTCATTATCACCTGGCGAGGACCGTCCCATGTTTCTTTCAGCGGCTCCACCGACCAGTTTCTCACGTAGACATGATCTCCCGGAGAAATGTCATGCACTGGATTCTCCAGGGGCAAAGGTCGATTCCACTGCAACGCTCCTCTGAGGGCTGTGAGAGTCTTATTTAAAGATAACACATAATTAAACACTGCTTGATCACCTACTATATGAGGATCTCCTTGGTAAGTAGCTGCATGATAAGGTTTGCCATATAATATTTCATATGGACTTACTCCTATTCTCTCCCTTGGTTTGATCCTAATTCTCAACAAGGCAATGGATACTGCTTGGGGCCACGGAATCTTTGCTTCCTGACAAATTTTCTTCAATTGACCTTTCAATGTCTGATTCATCCTTTCAACTTGTCCACTAGACTGTGGTCTCCATGGTGTATGGAGATTCCATGTTATCCCTAATACAACTGACACATCTTGTACTATTCCTGCTATAAAGTGCGGTCCTCGATCAGAGGACAACCCTAGGGGAACTCCAAATCTTGGGATAATTTCTCTCAAGAGAGTTTTTACCACTTCCTTTGCTTGATTAGTCCTACAGGGAAAAGCCTCAGGCCATCCTGAAAAGGTGCAGACATATACTAACAAATACTTATAGGATTGGGCTTTAGGCAACTCAGAAAAATCTACTTGCCAGTAATCTCCCGGTAACTGACCTATCTGTAATTTTCCCATCTGCACCTGCTTCCTGACTACTGGGTTATTCTTTATGCACATAGGACACATTGCATTTACCCTTTTTGCCAATGTTAACATCTGCTTTGAGAGAACCTCATTTTTCAAAAATTTTACCAATGCTTCTGCACCCCAGTGGCACTTA